TTACGTTTCACTCTGGCTCAGCCTCGTTCCTCCGCCGCTCTACAACAAGTCAGATGCCACATTGATCAGTTATGGCTTTGGCAGGCTGGGCCCGTCCCGGGTGAGGATTCCAAGGTGTTATCAGACCACTGGGGAACTGTTTTCCTCTGAGTTTGTTTACACCACCCATGGCCGCCTCTGGAGGAACAGAGTTACCAAGGGCAGTAGAGCCACCACCACTCACAGGCGACCAAAATGGCCATCAAGATTCTGTCCAATTGGACATGGACAATACTCCACTTAAACAGAACTATCCAGTAACATTGCAGCAGTCCACCAGGATCTGTGGGCCCCCAGCCATCTCAAAGACTATGAATATTGAACAGACTGAGGGTAAGAACTATCCTAGGGGGGAGGGGTGTTATGTAATGAATATATATATTTGTGTTAAGCCCTGCTAAAGTGAAATTAACCTTTAGATGATCCTAACTGTTAACTCCAACTGCTTTGGAGAGAAACTTAGAACATTCATATTTGGGTGGGCTTTTTCAAATATTATGATTGATTACGGTCCTGTGGGCCCAGAGTATAAATTACAGGCATTTGCCTGCTGTTCCTCAGTTCCAGTTTTGAGTCAATAAATGCTATTGCAGCTATGCTGGTCTGCTTCTTGCCTACTGAAGCCCACTACACAATCGACTGTGCCAAGAGCATACATTTAAAACCATGCATGGCAAAAACTGCAGAGATTTTTAAACATTTACATAATCTGACTTGAAATTAAAAAAGACATGTCTGAAAAAAAATTAGTTTTCCACACTGGAATCCTGAACACAGGCCCTCTCTTTCATTTGTTATACAGTTGTCATGTTTGAATATGGGCTCATGTATCTTTTATGTAAAGCAGGGTTTGTAACTAGTGATCTTTCTCCTCTACTATTTTTCCCTGGCTCTCCACTCCTGATTACTTGTATGTATAACTATCAAGTAAATTAATTCCCACGTTTATTTAAAGTAGCACATGTAGCTGTGCTTATCCTAACCCAATTTCTATCCATGCATAAAAAGGTATCATCATAGCAATATATTTAGGGTTAAGGATTTAGATAAATATCCAAAATAGTGTAATTTTAATTTGTTGGTAATTAGCTGCATAACTGCATATTGTTGCATATTAGCTGCATATTGTTCTGAAACAGATGACCTTGAATTTAAAAATAAGTGAATGTGGTTTGTTATCACTCTAACTTTGGCTATATTTATCTCTCTTAATTTTTGATCCTTTTAATTGCCTGTTTTTATTGATCTCTGGAGTACATTCCATAACTTGGCCCCAGGTTGTGAAGCATTTTTCTGGCTCAGTTTTAACAAAGCGTTTAGGATTTACAGATCCAGGATGTATGCTTAAATAAACAGATGATGGCTTGATGTAAAACCCATTGGAAGTGACAATATTTATTAATGACATTTAATAGGCATTCCACAAAATATAGGTAATTGCTTGTCTGAAAGGGAAAAACTAAATCCATTTCTACTGGACATATGAAAATGGAACCAATGCAAAATAAAAATAAAAATTTTCTTGTTTTTCTGAATTATTTGAAAACATATGCTGCACATATGCTACTCTGGATAATATGTTTTGCAGAAAGCAGTTGGGCTTTAACACCGAGGCAATGCTAACTGGTCTCAACAGATCAGAATCAGAACTAGTTGCTCTGCCAAACTGTTATATTGATGGCGCTTCTTAAAGAGTTTTCTTCTGGAATCTATTATGGATAAATGATACCTATTTTATACATATATGTTATATGCAAGATATTTTCCTTCATTAGTTTCATCACATATAATTAAGATTAGTAAAACAGAATTTCAAATCACATAATGAGATTAGAAAATATGACCATGAAGGCAATGTTCATTAGCAATCACAGGGCAGATTAGTAAAGTGATAAGTGAGTTCATCGTACATCTATGTTCAGAGTATTGCAGAGTAAATTCAGTGCAAGAAAAGTAAACACAGATGGCTGAAGCTTAATTTAACTTCTTTATAAACACATAAAGTAAACTTTACAATACCAGTTGTAGATTTCTCCAACATGGAGCAAACTCAAACACAAGCAGACATGTTACAGGTTCAGAGCAGAACAGCAACTCAGGAGCTCAGAAACAGACATCAGTTTCACTTTAGTTCAGCAGGCAAGCAACACACACAGCAAAGGAGAGAAACAGTTTCGTTTTCAATAGACAGTCTCAGAGCTTAACATAGCTTCAGAGCTGCAGAGCTTAACATAGAGCCATGCCTAGGCTACTTCTAGTTTCAGTTTCCAAACAGTCCTCATTGGCTGATTTAGTTGCTATCCTATTATTGGCTGACCTTGTTACCATGCTCTATTCCAGTTCATGAATATAATCTGACAATCTAGTACAGGGGCAACATAGAAGAAATATTGAGAATCAAATACTGAGCAATCAGCAGATGGAGATACTGTTCTACTTCTTAGATAAAGCTTGAATATAAGACCAGAAGGGCTATTCAAGTGGTAAAACCTATTCCTCTTTCTTCTAATGAAGCATTTCCTTTCAAATGAATAATCTTGCATCTGTTAGCCCCTGGATCTTCATCCTCTGGGACTCAGCTTGCTCTCCATCTCTGGTTGAAGAAAACCTAGATAGTGCCAAGGATAGCTCTTGCACAGTCTCCCCTGCTGTTCTTCTACCTGTGAATTATTGAGATCCTAGTGTGTTGTAGATGAAAATTCTTATAGACAACTGTGACAAATTCCCTTCCTGTCTGCTTATAGGTCCAGTGCAAATTTCAATTCTCTTCCTTATCTTGCCTGAGTCTTTCAGTTCTTGTAGATAGGATTCATCTCTTGAGATCATCGTTCTTTGAAATACACCATTTTTTATCGTTTGAATATTACTTAATCCTTCAAATGTTTCCATACTTTTCTCTTTATTGTCCTATAATGCTTGGAACAATTCTCCATAATCTCTGCTTGGTAACTCTTATTTCCTTGAATTCTTCTTTCTATTCAGGTCTTGGGCGCAAGCATTCAATTTCCATTCCTTCTAGTTATTTAAACAACCCCACTATTACTGAAACAATGACTCTATCTCTTCTTTCTGCCTTCCCCTTTCTATGAGAGTTAAGGCAAGCGCCAGAGTTACTCAATCGAGAGATGGCAGATTACATCAAGGCCACCAAGCAAAGAGTCCATTCATTTATGAAGAGTGTGAAGAAGAAGAAAAAGATTTAACAGAGTTGGAAGGGACCTTGTAGGTCATTTAGTGCAACCCCCCTCTCAAGCAGGAGACCCTATTCCATTTCTGACAAATGGCAGTCCAATCTCTTCTTAAAAGCCTCCAGTGATGAAGCTCCCACAGCTTCTGATGGCAAGCTGTTCCATTGGATGATTGTTCTCATGTCAGAAAATTTCTCCTTATTTCTAGGTTGAATCTCTTCTTGATCAATTTCCATCCTTTATTCTGTGTCTGGCCTTCAGGTGCTTTGGAAAATAGCTTGACCCCATCCTTTTTGTGGCAGCCCCTAAAATGTTGGAACACTGCTATCATGCCTTCCCTGGTCCTTCTCTTCACTAGATTAGCCATGCCCAGTTCCTGTAACTATTCTTCATATGTTTTCATCTCCAGTCCCCTAATCATCCCGGTTACTCTTCTCTGCACTTTTTCTAGAGCCTCAACATCTTTTTTATAGTGTGGTGATCAAAACTAGATGCAGTATTCTAGGAGTGGTCTTACTAAAGCTTTATAGAGCACTATTAGTACCTTACTTGATCTTAATTGTATCCCTCTGTTAATGCAATTTAGGATTGCATTGGCTTTTTTGCCTTCTGCTGCACACTGCTAGCTCATATTTAACTGGTTGTCCACCAAGATTCCAAGATCCCTCTCATGGTTACAACTAATAAGTCTGGTTTCACCCAGTCTATGTGTATACTTTTAGTTTTTCTTGCCTAAGTGTAAGACTTTACTTTTTAATACATTGAATTTCATTTTGTTAGATAGGGCCCAGTGTTCAAGTCTGTCAAGATCCATCTGGATCTTGAGCCTATCTTCTTGCGTGCTAGCTACTCCTGCCAGCTTAGTATTATCTGCAAATTTGGTAAGTTCCCCTTGTATTCACTCATCTAAGTCATTTATGAAGATATTGAAGAGTACTGGTCTAAGACAGAATCTTGTGGTACCCTACTGCTTACCTCCCTCCATGTAGATGTAGACCCATTATGGATTACTCATTGAGTATGGTTTGTCAGCCAGTTACAAATCCATCTGGTGTGATGCTATCTATCCCATTTTTTTCTAGCTTACTAAGAAATAGACTGTTGTGGTCTACTTTGTAGAATGCCTTGCTGAAGTCTAAGTATATTATGTCCACAGTATTTTGCTGATCTACTAATTTAGTCACTATGTTGAAGAATAAAATAAGATTGGTTTGGCCTGATCTTAACACACCCCTGCTGATTACTAGTTATTACTTGACTCATTTCTAGATATTGGCAGATCTTCTGTTTTTATTATCTTTTCCAGTGTCTTCCCAGGTATTGATGTGATTGGTGATTGGTCTGTAATTTCCTGGGTCTGCTTTTTTTCCTTTTTTGAAGATGAGAACCACATCAGCTCTTCTATTAGAGTCCCAGTGCTCCAGGGTTTTTGGGAGATGTGGTACAGTGGTTCTGAGATGACATTTGCCAGTTCGTTTAGAACTCTGGGATGTAATCCATCAGGTCCCGGTGATTTGTATTCATCAAGATCAGACAGGTGTATTCTTACCATTTTTTTTTGCTTATTTTAACTTTTATTTCTAGTCTGTCTTTTAAGTTATGTCTTTGCTAAGTTGGACTATTGTTTCTTTTTGTGTAAAGACTGAATCAAAGAATGAGTTGAGCAGCTCCTGCTTTCTCTCTACTTCCTGTTACTTTCTTTGCTGTCTTCTCTCTTTAGTGGACCAACTGTTTCCTTGATTTTTTTTTTTTTTGTTATTAATATGTTAGAAGAAACTTAAAAAAATTATCTTTGACTTTTGTGGCAAGTCTTTATTCATTCTGAGCCTTTGCTTTCCTGACTTCATCTTTGCAGATGCCAGCTATCTGCTGATATTCTGCCTTAGTTATGTGTCCTTCTTTCCATTTTTTGCACTTGTCCTTTTTGTCTTTCAATTTGTCAGAAAGATCTTTGTGCAGCCATGCTGGTTTCTTCTTGATTTCTTGTTTTTATTTTTCAGTGGTATTATGCTGGTCTGGGCTTTTATGATCATATGGTCAATGTCCAAGACAGCGCACCATTCAAAGTTGCCACAATGCACCATTTTGTAGTTGCCACACATGTGCAGGGTGAGGGGGGTGCATGGGGACACAGATGGGGGTTGGGTCATGGGAGAGGAGCCAGAAAGGCAAGCCAGCCACGGTCGGTTCAGGGCAGGCTGCTGAAGAGTGGTGGGGGTGGGGGAGGGAAAATTCCACAGCTGCTGCTGGGACTGGGCTCAACTACCAGGAGGTAGCCCTGACCATTGGTAGTTTGGTGTGGCCTCCTTGGGGCCATGGGCGCCTCTAGGCTATTGGCAGCTGCAGCTGTGGGCCAAAGAACCACCACATCTGAGGGCCACATATGATAGGGACTCTGTCAGACTGGCTCTATTTGTAAGCCAGGTCATTAGTCACATGATCCTCTATGCATACCTATACCCCAGCCAGTGGGCCATGGCAGATGTGGTAACCGTGGCCCTGGATGGGGAAGCAACAGACTGGGTAGCGGATCTGTACAGTGACAATGCTTGGGAGTTGGGAGATGTCAACCTGCTTCTGAAAACTTTACAATGCCATTTCGAGGACGTGACCCAGACCAGCACTGCCATGATATCAAACAACCTGGTCACTTCAATTTCCTGAAGATGCTACACCTGGGCAATAGGCAGTTCTGGTGGCCACAGATGAAGAAGGACTTTGAGGCCTATATAAAAAGATGCTTTATCTCTGCCACTATGAAAACCCAGCAGGGAAACCACTGGGCCTGCTGCAGCCAGTTGCCATGCATTAGCCCTTGGGAGGACTATGGATTTTATTGTGCACCTTCCAGAGATCCACAGGAGTACCATGATCTGGACTGTGATAGACCTTTTTTCCAAGCAGGCCCACTTCATTGCGTGTCCAGGCTTACCTTCAGCTCGCAAGCTGGCCATTATCCATGTGTACCGCTACACAGGGTACCAAGAAGGATAATATTGGACCAGGGAGTCCAATTTATGGCCACATTTTTGGAGGAGTTTGTTTGGGTGATTGGTTCCTTCCAACACTTCAACTTTGCCTTACATTCAAATTCTAACAGAGCTGTGGAGAGAGCTATTACGATGGTTGAACAGTATCTCAGGTGTTAAGTCACCTATCAACAGAATGATTGGGCAGAGCTTCTGCCATTCACAGAGATGGCATATAATAATGCCGTACACAGCAGTACAGGGCTCCCACCCTTTAAGGGGACTTCATCCCTATTCCCAAATCCACTCACTCGGCAACCTGACAGAATGGATGGATAACTTGCAGGGAGTTTGGGGGAATGTGAAGCAAGCATCGATGAAAGCAACTGATACCCCAAAACTCCAGGCATATAAGAAAAGGTCACCACAAAAACCATTCTGCATAGGGGAAAAGGTGTACCTCTCCACAAAGTACCTTAAACTGAAACTGCCTTGCAAAAAGCTGGGTCCAAAATACCTGGGTCCATTCCCCATAGTCAGAATAAGCAACCAATTTTAACAATGCAGTTAAAATTCCCACCACTACTGGGGAAGGTCCATCCGGTCTTTCATAACAGCCTGCTGAAGCCAGTGGTGGCATCAAGCAGTAGACCCTTGACTCCACACCTGCCAAGACCCAATAATGGTAGATGGGAACACCCACTATGAAATAGGCTAAGTATTAGATTCTCAGCTGCAAGGGACCCTGCAGCACTTAGTCCATTGGAAAGGGTACCCCATGGCTGAGGCCTCATGGGTGAGAAGCCGAGATGTATGGGTGGAAAGACTGATCAACAAATTTCATAAGGAAAATTCCTTGAAGCCTAGGCAGGACACCTGGGGTGGGCAGCAGGTCCACTAATCTGTGCATGTGTTTGCTCTCTTCCAGAAATATTCCCATTGACAGAGGAGGCCACCTGTCAATGTCTGAAACAGCATGCCATTCAAAGTTGCCACAATGTGCCATTTTGGAGTTGCCACACATGCACGGGGGAGGCAGGGGCATGGGGGCAGAGATGTGTATCAGATGATGGGACTCATACTGAGAGAGGAATCAGGAAGGCAAGCCAGCTGTGGTCAATTCAGAAGCCATCCAAGTCTGAAGAGTATTTGCTGTAGCTGATCAGGTAGCAACCAGGCTCCAGCAAGAGTACTTGCTGGAGCCAGTCGGAAGCAACTGGGAACAGGAGAGTGGGGTGTGCTGAGTTGGTATAGCCAGCTGCTAGCAGAGGCCAGTAATGCTGGCTAGAAACGCTTTTACATGATTTGTTCACCATGTGCAAAGCTGAGACTCCAATATAGAGACCCGTTCTGCTCAGAGTGTGGCCTCTTGTTTTGCTGGCTTGATTTGGAACCATGACATGAGGGGTGGGATTCTATCAGTTCAAACCAGTTCTATGGAACTGGTTGTTACAATTCTGCGCAGTTCATAGAATCAGCAAGTCATGCCACTGGCTGGCCCTTTCCCACCCCTCCCTGCCCACTCTGCCCCACCCACCCACTCACCCCGCCCCACTCCACCCAGTCATATGACAACATGGCTACGTCCACCCAGTCACATGACAACCTAGCCATGTCCACCCAGCCACATGACCACCAAGCCACATGACCACCAAGCCATGCCCTTGAGTTGTTTTCCCCTTTAGGATTTTCATCCAAGGAATCTTTCCCAAGTCCTCTCTGAGCTTGTTAAAATCAGCTCTTTTAAAATTTAGGATTCTGGTGTCATCATAATCTATTGCTTGTGTTTGCGTTATGTTATATTCTAGTTTGACATGGTCACTTTCACTCAAGGTGAAAATATTTACACACCCCTCACATTCTGGACATAAACTGTTTCAACTCCTACCCTCAAAACAACACTAAAGTGCACACCAGAACAACTAGACACAAGAACAGTTTTCCTCCAAAAGCCATCACTCTGATAAACAAATAATTCCCTCAACACTGCCAAACTATTTACTAAGTCTGCATTACTATTAATCTTCCTATCTTTCCTTTCACCCATCTCCTCCCACTTATGACTGTATGACTGTAACTTTGTTGCTTATATTCTTATGATTTTTTATTGACTGTTTCCTAGTATGATTTGATTGCTTATAGTACCCTATGACTATTATTAAGTTTTGTGCCTTATGATTTTTGATGAATGTATATTTTCTTTTATGTACTCTGAGAGCATATGCACCAGACAAATTCTGTGTGTGCAATCACACTTGGCCAATAAAGAATTCTATTCTATTCTATTTATCACTTCTTCTATGTTTGTAAGAATTAAGTCCAGTATGGCTATCCCCCTAGTTCCCTTCTCTACTTTTTGGACAACAAAGATATCAGCTAGGTTGGTCAGGAACTTTTCTGTCTTCTGCACAGTAATGGATTTTTAAGCTGTGCAGATGCAGATAGATAAACTCAGCAAGACGTCCATATCAAAGTACATTTATTGGTTCATCAGGTATCCTCATAACTCACATTTGTGACAACGTTCTTTATTGACCAATCCTTTGCATATCTGCCTTGTAGGTAAAAGATGGTTATCTCCTAACCCATCTCGTAGTGATAGAAAGCAGCTGCCATGAGTCAGTGAATTCAGGCAAAAGTGAGGACTCCCCCAATCCATCAAGAGTCAAATTAGTGACCAATCGGGATTACAGATGTGACCACGTGACATGAACTACATTTCCCAGGATACCTTTAGCTACATTTACCATGATGCATTCCCTTAAGGGGACAGCTCATAATTCCTAAGTAACTATCCAATTCCCATAGATTGGCTAGGACAGCACAGGAACCTATTCCATTTCTCACTTGGTGCAGAATTAGTCTCCAATTGATATCTGGAAAATTGAAGCCCCCCATTACTATTGCAGTTTGTTTCCTACATGTATTTGTTAGTTGGCTGGCAAAAAATATATTTATTTTTTCTGCTTGGTAGCCTGTAGTATACACCTATGGCAATGTTATTCTTTTTTTTTTCTTTTATATTGAGTCATATACATTCTAGGTGGTTTTCGTCTTTGGTTCCATGCATTTCTGTAGCAATCTAGTAGTCCTTTGCATACAGTGCAACTCCACCTCCTCTTTTATGAGGTCTGGTTTTTTTGAATAGTTTGTATCCTTCTGTTAGTCATGGGTTTCATCCCACCAAATTTCTGTAATTCCAACTATATCATATCTACCTTCATCCATTGATAGTTGAAGTTCACCCTGTTTCTCCCCCAAACTTTGTGCATTTGTATATAGGCACTTGAGGTCTTTATGTCTAACTCTGGGTATGCTTCCTATATCTCCTATTTCGTGTTTGAGTTTGCCTTCCTTGCCATCCCTCCTTACCTCATTATGTGTTTTCTAGAGATTTTTGCTTCATTTAAATATCTGTGGGTATAACAGAGAAATTGTACTGTTGCAATGCTAATAGGGAATAAACAATTTCATTTGTCATCAATCTTCTTTTCCAGTAAAAAAAGCTTTTATTGTGAATGTGGCAATTCTGCCAAATTCTAGACTAGGAGTTGAATTAAATTGTAGAAAATCAAGAAACTGTGGTTATTACTGAACTGTGGCAAAGAGTGCTGACATATTGTTCATGAAATTTGAAAGCAGAAAAACAACACATTATTTCAGAATAGCTCTTTCTCAATACAGATGTGTCTTCATAAAAAAAAAAATCAAACATGTAATTTGACACTTTGTTTTGCAATCTTTTAGACAATGAACCATCTCTTTGGTCCCTCAAAAATACTATAATATTTTCATTGATATCTTTTTCATATTGTGATTATTGTCATGAGGTATAATATATTCATTAGAATGGAAGAACATGTCTTGTCAGCATTGTAAGAGCAGTGTAAAAAGCTTAAAACAACCCTTCTCCTGTAAGAAAGTCAAGCCCCTAATAAAGCAAAACAAAGTACCAACAACAACAAAAAAAACTCTGGAGAAGGTCAGACAACATAAGTCTGGGAGTACCTTTAGCAGTGGTGGGATTCAAATTTTTTACTACCGGTTCTGTGGGTGTGGCTTGGTAGGCATGGCTATGTGATCATGTGACTGGATGGGCGTGGCCAATTTAGCAGTCCATTTTGCCAATTTAGCAGTCTGTTAAACAATAGGGAGGCATACAAGGCCCAAAATGGGGCACGGGGAGGTCTTCAAGGGAGAAAGTAAGCCTTCAAGGGAGAAAGAAAGAAAGAAAGAAAGAAAGAAAGAAAGAAAGAAAGAAAGAAAGAGGGAGGGAAAGGAAAAAGAAAGAAAGAAGGGAAGGAAGAAAGAAACAGAAAGCAAGAAAGAAAGAGGGAGGGAAGGGAGAAAGAGAGAAGGGAAGGGAAAGTGAATGGGATATAGATGGATGGGTAGAGAGAGGAAGGGAGAAAAAAAGGAGAGGACGCCCCCTTTTCTATTCTTTTTTAATACTGTATGAAATTTTTGCTCTAGGTTTTTTTTTTTTTTACTAAGGGGGAGATATTGGCAATGCCTGGGGATTTCTGGGAATTTCCCCTGTATTAGAGGCACCAAAATAACCAAAATAACCTAGATGATGTAAGGTCTCTTGCTGGAGGAGGGGTTGGACTAGATGTCTTCTGAGATCCCTTCCAGCTCTGGACTGCTGTGCTGTTTCAAAGCATCCTCTGAAGCTGCGTCTAGTGCCAAGGTTTTTGGTCCTTCCTTCCTCTCCTTTTTTTCTCCCTTCCTCTCTCTATCCATCCATCTATATCCCGTTCAATTTCCCTTCCCTTCTCTCTTTCTCCCTTCCCTCCCTCTTTCTTTCTTGCTTTCTGTTTCTTCCTTCCTTCCTTCCTTCCTTCCTTCCTTCCTTCCTTCCTTCCTTCCTTCCTTCCTTCTTTCTTTCTTTCTTTCTTTCTTTCTTTCTTTCTTTCTTTTTTTTTTCTTTCTTTCTTTCTTTCTTTTTCCTTTCCCTCCCTCCCTCTTTTCTTTCTTTCTTTCTTTCTTTCTTTCTTTCTTTCTTTCTTCCTTCCTTCCTTCCTTCCTTCCTTCCTTCCTTCCTTCCTTCCTTTCTCCCTTGAAGGCTTCCTTTCTCCCTTGAAGACCCCATTTTGGGCCTTGTATGCCTCCCTGTAGCCTTCTGGGAGCAAAAATGGGCTGCAGGGGAGTGCATTACACCCTTTGTGCCCTGTTTTGGGCCTTGTAGGCCTCCCTGAAGCCTCCTGGGAGAAAAAAATAGGCCACAGGAGGCCCAGACCACACCCTCCTGCACCCCATTTTGACCTAGTGGGTCTCCCTGCATGGAGCAAAAATGGGCCACTGGGAGCAAAAATGGGCCATGAGGGGCTGTGCTGCATTCCCCGTATCCCATTTTAGGTCTAGTAGGCCTCCCTGCAGCCCCTGAGAGCAAAAATGGGCCACGGAGGGGGGCATGCTGTACCCTCCCATGCCCCATTTTGGGCCTAGTTGCACTTACGTGGGAGCCAAAATGGGGCACGTGAGGACTTCTGGAAGGGGTGGGGTGTGGCGGGGTGAGGACAGCTAGAGGTTTTATTTGGCAGTTTTCTGAACCATTCAAAACTTCTGCTACTGGTCCACCAGAAATGGTCAAAACTGGCTCTGCTGCATATTCTAAATTACACTATAAGCCATATTTTATGAAAATGAACCTTCTATTAGAGTGGTATTAATTAATCTAGACCAGGGCAGTCAAGCTTCTGGCCCGTGGGCCGGATGCATGAGGAGCTGGCCATGCCCACACCCTGTTTAGTGAAGAGGAAAAAAGTCATGTGATGCTACTGTGACAACATGAGTTTGACGCTCCTGATCTAGACAATATCAGTAGGTTTGCTATGATAATTTAGATATCATCTTTTATGTTTTTTGTGTGCTAGGATTGCAGGGACACAACTGTATTGCATATAGTACAGTTATGACTGTGTTATTAAGAAGTTAAGAATGTTATGGGGCATATTATAAATCAAATTCTTGTTTTCTTCTCACAGATTACGATCTTTGGTAAAACAACTGGAAAGAGGAGAGGCTTCTGTTGTTGATCTAAAAAAGAACCTAGAATATGCTGCTACTGTGTTGGAATCTGTATATATTGATGATACTAGGTGAGATAATTATTTCAGTATATTTATGCTTTGTTTTTAATTCAATACTTAATAATATATTTAGGCTATAGGGCTTATCACATACAAATAAAAATTATTTTTCTTTTAATAAAGTTTAAAAAGTACATGTCTATATTCCTAGAAATAGGACGAATAATCAGTAAATATGTTATCTTAAGAGATGAAAATATTAGCATTATTCCAGTAGTCTTTCACCAAGTTTCCATCAAACAATTTCTCTTACATAGCTGCAGTTATTCTCATTTTTTGTGAGATGGAAATTATATGTTAATAAGACATAAATTAAAACTTATCTACCTGACTACAAAGCACAAGGCTGAAATGATTTTTTTCTATATAGAGGCACAAAGAAGGCATTTAGTTCAGAATTATTTAAACATTTGCCTAACAACTTAGCCTCCTTTAATTTTTATATATAAAAATACCATTCAACTTATACTCCATGATTAACTATAAAGAGTCCTTGCACATAGGACTTCTGGTTTGGGCTTTTTTGACGACGGACCGAAATCGTGATCGTCCACGGTTTTGATCTGTGCTCGCCGCTGGAGTGCCCCGAGCTGCCTGGATTTAGGGCTGAAGCCACCCTGTAGAGGTGGTGAAGAAGGGGGAGCCATCAGTGGGGTTGAGGAGAGCCGCATCTCTCCTCCTCGGCTGGCCATTACTCCCTTTCCCAAAGGCGGTTGCAGCGGTAGTCAGAAATGGCCACCTCAAAGAAGAACCCAACTGGACAAGATTGTGCAGGAGGAAGTTTAAAGGAGAAAGTTTGACTGACTGGGTTGAATGGAGAACATCTATTTAAGGTACCTGGAGCCTGAATTTTAAAGACTAATACTATTCCTAAAAAAGATTTTAAGCTGCAAAAGAGAAAGGGAAAGGAAACAGAATTGGCTTTTTTTCCTCTAACATCAACAGTTTTAACTGACTTGGAACATTAAGAAGAAGAGATTTGAATAAGAAATTGATACTAATCCACTTTGACATTAATAGGCTATTTCTAGCTGAAAATAAAGTGTCAAAGGGATAAAGATTCTTGGATAATTTAAAAACTTTCTTTAAAAAAGGAAAGAAAGCAGTGAAGGGAAAAAGGAAAAAAGAGGGTGGAGTCTGGAAAATGGAGGAGACCACCTGGAACTTAAAAAAAAATTGATAATGGAATTTTAACAAGGCTTGCAAAAGATACATTGTAGCTGAAACTTTGTTGTAAGATAACAAAGCCCCTGGAAAGAGAAAGTGAGAAAAGAAGCAAGAAACAGTTTTGGATTATTGGATAATTCCTGGAACTTTGGATGAAGGATCCTAATGAAATAAAATAAAATCAATTGGGTGTTGTTTAAAAATTTTTAAAATGGCATCACTCCTTGAAGAGTTAAAAATGAGACTTAAAGAACAAAAAGAAGAAGCACAAGACAGAAGAGGATCTTTTGGCTTCGCTTTTCAATTTTTAGAAATGAAGATCTTGAACTATGAAAAACAAAAAAAACGCTGGCAGAACAAGAAGGGCGGGACAACGAAAAAGCCATCTTTAATGACCAAGCAATTTTAAGCGGGGTAAAAAAGGGAAAGGGGGGGAAAGGGAGTTAAAAACTTAAGCACAGAAGCAACAACCAAAAAAAAAAAGTAATTTGAAAAGCAATCATCAGGAAGAAGCAGAAGGGATGATCACAAAAGGGAGAATCAGATAGAAAAGGGAATAAAAAGGGGAGGGAGAAGAAGAGAGGGAAGAGGGAAAGGAAAAGAAGCTACAAAAGACAGAAACAAGATATAGAGGTACAGGAAAAGCATACAAGAATTAAAGGTATAAACCTATTTAAAAGACACAGAGACAATGGTTAAAATTTAACTTAAGGGAGGATTCTGCAAGGGTGCATGGGATAGCATTGTTATATTAGAAATAGAAAAGGGTTAGAAAATATGTTAGATGATTAAAGTGAAAGAAAAAATTTCTATTGATGTGTAATGGAATATTTGTTTGTAAAGAGAATAAGGTTCTCAATGATTTAAAAAGAACGTTTAAAAAAACCTGAAAAGAAACATGGAAGATTTTTATCAGTTGACAAGATGAACTTGAATAAGAATAACAACTTTATTGACTACTGTTAATAATTATTGTTTGGTTTTTTTAATTTAAAGACAGTAATAAGTAAAATATGAAATATAGATGATTAAAGTGAAAGACAACTGATATTACTGGGTAATGTTTGTTAAAAGAAATAGAAATGTAAAAGATTATTATTAATATTAATGGCAGAGCTGTATTTGAATAGAATAATTATTCCATTTACTATTTTTATACATATACAGAGGTATATATACATATATACTTTTATCTTTTAAGAATTTAGTGTGTATTTTAAGGGAATGTACCAAGCAGAATTCGATTGAAAATAGGTATGTGTTATAAAATAGAGGTTAGAAAATGAATGTTATAACTGTAAAGATGTAACTTAAATTTTTAAATAAGATTTGAAAACAGATACGAAGGTGTTACACTGCAGTCTAGTAATTTCAGGGGAAAATTTGTTTTATGTGAAAAGATAATATGATACTGTAAACAGGACAGATGAAAGTATAAAAACATTGATTAGAAAGATTTTAAAAATTAGAAAAAGATATGTAATTGAATTAAGAAAGGAATGAGATAATTTAAAATAAGGCTATAGGAAGTAAAGAAAGGGAAAAGTTATTGAACAAATTGCGAAAATAGTTGTAAGATATGGATTAGAATGTATAAGATAAATATGTATTGAGTTTATGTCTGTATGGAGAAGTGATAACCCGGGGCCATGCTGTTCTGAAAAAAAAAGATATTTCATTTGTATTTATATGTTTTGTGAAAAATTAAATAAAACTTTTATTTAAAAAAAAAGTCCTCGCACATTATGGCAGTATACAAATGCCAAGCAACTTAATAAACAAATACAATTCAATTCAACTGAAATTAACATTAAAGTTATTATCACTAAAACCAATAACATTTCAAAACTTAATAAAGGAGATTTGTTTTTATCATTTGTCTGAGAAGGGTAGATCAAAGGCACCCCATAAAGAAGACATTTCAGTTCAGTCCCAAATGTGCTTTTTTTTCTTTTGTCAAAAGGCAACTGGACTTTCTGCTTTTTTCTTTGAAGATGTTTTACTTCTCATCCAAGAAGCTTTTTCAGCTTGACTGGATGGTGGGAATGGAAGGATTTATACTCCTTGCAGACAACTGGACATTTGCATTCTTTTAGCAGGTTGTTAAGGTCATCTGGAGGTTTATCTGTGTCATCACATGGTCTCCTGAGTGGTGCAAATTGTTATGGAGCCTACTTGGAACTGTTGAAAGGAATGTGTTGTAGATTGGGGATAGATGATTCCATATTCCTGCCCTCTGTTGAGAGAGCTGTTCAAAATTGAACGGCCTGATGACAGATAAACCTCCAGGTCACCTTAACGACATGCTAAAAGAATGCAACTGAGTGAATGAAAAAAAGTACCTTTGGGATAACTATGACTTGGATGACTGAGAATCTCCATCAGGGGTGGGATTCAAATTTTTAACAACCGGTTCTGTGGGCGTGGCTTGGTGGTCATGTGACCAAGTGGATGTGGCTTGGTGATCATGTTATTGGCTGGGTGTGACCAACTCAATATCACTCACATCGAGGCGTGCATCTCCTCGCCTAGCCTTGCATTACTGTGGGGATGCTGTAACAGTCATAAGTGTGGAAAAATGGTCATGAGTCACTTTTTGCAGTGCCATTGTAACTTTGAATGGTCACTCCACACAAGCAAAGTACCAGCAAAGGAGGGGGGAAAAAACTCCGGAGAACTCTAGTCCTGCCAAGAATGTAATAAGGGTTAATGGAGAGGCAGTTTCTGTAAGAAGTTTCTGTTTCCTTCCTGCCTTCCTTACAGGATTAGGCCAGTAATTTCTTTTAACAACCGGTTCTCTGAACTGCTTAGAATGTTAACAACCGGTTCTAGCGAATAGATGCGAACTGGTAGAATCCCACCCCTGATCTCCATAGACATTCCAGTTCAGTGTTAAAATCTGCTGTTATAGAAAGGTTGGAAGAATTGTAGAAGAATTGAAAAGTTACTACTAATAAGCATGGGTTTTTATGGATTTTCTTTTGCTTTCTTTTTAATCTGTGGAAATCGCTCTACCATAGAATAACTTATCTTGAGTTTTTAAAATGGCAAAAGAATGGAAAACACATCAGACAAGCATTTTGGCTGAACTGCTAGCATTTGAAAATATCCTAAGTATAAAAACACAATTGAGTCCTGGATACATTGCAATTTTAATCTTGAATAACCCTAAAATGATAATGTGCAGTATATGATTATTGTGTATTCTAAAAATAAGGTACTTTGTATTTTGGTAGCATTGTTGTTCACCAGACAAAACACAATATCAGTAATAGTTTTCATTCAATTTACCTCTTCTGCAGAATGAAATAGAATAAAATAAAGTTCTAAACTCACTAACCAATAGATTTATATATGGGTTTGACATGTCTGACAATTGGAAGAATATTGTTTCAGTATAGCTATTCCTTAATATAATTTTTCCTCTGTCCTTTTCAGGCACCTCTTGGACACAGAAGATGAGCTTAGTGATATTGAGTCTGACTCGGTGCCTTCAGAGGTACGGGACTGGCTGGCTTCTACTTTCACCCGACAGATGGGTATGATGCTAAGAAGAAGTGAAGAAAAGCCGCGATTCAGAACCATTGTTCATGCAGTTCAAGCTGGAATATTTGTTGAGAGGTAAAAGGCAGTGGACAGAGACTGTAGATTTAATCTTGAATAAAGGCTATTTGACATTTTTTTAACATTCTGATGATAATTAGTGCCTTCATGTCACTGTTCACTGATGGCAATTTTCTGAAAAAGTCCTTGCCATTTTCTTAGCAAGATTTCAGAAGTTTTTTGCCATTGTCTAATTCCTAGGGTCAAGAAAGAGAGACTACCCTAAGGTCACCCAACTGGCTTCATGCCTAAAGTGGACCTAGAATTCATGGTCTCCCAGGTCCTAGCCTTATGCCTTGATTACTACTCCAAACTGGTTGTCTCTCTGATGATCTACAAAGATAAATAACCATGAACAAAACCATTGCCACATATCATTGCCACATACATATATATTGAAACTATTATAATAAATTGGATTAAAACACAAGCTTATTTAAAGATTTAAGAAGTGATTCTCAATTATTTTATTAAATGAGCCATTGTTGGTATAAACTTGAATCCAATCCATTGTCTGACTTTGGAAAACGAAAAAAGAATTATCGACTAATAACCTTTTTTTAAATGGGTGAGAGCTAGAAAGCAAATATAGCTGTTTTGATTCATGGGGCAAAGAAATCCAAAATTCACTTTGTTAGGACCAATAATGTTTGCATCAAGACAAGTTCCTTGTGTGTCCAATCACACTTGGCCAATAAAGAATTCTATTCTATTCTATAAAATGTCATAAAATAATGTACACATTTTCAAGTTATTTAGAATCCTTCTTCAGATTAGACCTTACTTAAAAAGGGAGAAAAGCTAAAGTTGATACAAATGCAATATTAGACAATCTTAAAAGAGAAAATGCTGTTTATTAGGCTAGAAAAATCCAGTCATCTACAACTGATGGGTTATCAGGCTCCAAAGCATCCTTTAATTTCTGCAATATGCTGAAGAAACATCTAATAACTAAACCCCCTGCCAAAAATTTTCAAGTGGTAGATCTCACTGATTTTGAATGCTGGTTGTTGAAAAAGAAATTGAACGCTTGTTTAAAAGAGTCCTACCACTCATATACAAACTGAGATGTTGCATATAAGAAGAAAATACAAAAAACTCATAAGATTAAAGAAAATAGTTTTGACATTTCAGTCTGGTCAGAACTCAATCTGGATACCAAAACTCATAACGCAGTAATATTTTGGCACTCTGTAACAAATGTCCTAAAGGAACGGAGATTTGCATTTGATATACTAATCTCTGCTGAGGACTTGGAGAATTATTATCAATATTTGTTTCCTTCCACAGAACCTATAGAGAAACTGTCTTTAAACAGTGATTTAGTAAATCCTAGAACTCCTCCCCGTTGGCCACCAGAAGGAGATACAATCCATCATTAAAGGAGATACAATCAGAGGTGGGCTTCAAAAATTTTAGCAACCTGTTCCCTGCCTGGTTGCTGGATGGGTGTGGCCATAGCAGGCATGGCCTAGTTAGCCTCCTGCACCAGGGTTTTCACCCTCCCCAGGCTCCAGAGGCTTTCCTTGAGCCTCCAGGAGGGCAAAAACAGTCTCCCCAGGCTCCAGAGGCCCTCTGGAGGCCAGAAATGGGCCCATTTCTTGCCTTCTAGTGCCTCCAGGAGGCCCATTTTTCACCCTCCCCAAGCCTCCACTTACCTGGCATCCAAAATGGGCCATGTGGGGACTCCTGGGAGGGGCAGGGTGTGGTGGACGGGGCCAGGCAGGGGTAGGATTTGCCAGTTTGCTGAACCGGACATAAAATGGCCATAAAATTAGCTACTGGTTCACCCAAACCGTGGTGAACCAGTAGCAGCCCACCCCAGATACAATCCATCATTAAAAGGAGATACGATCCATCATTAAAAGCTTAAAGAGCAATAAAGCCCCAGGTGAAGATTTTTTACCAGCAGAATTATTTAAGAAATTTCCCAATTGACAGGTCTTTTTACACATATAAGTAACACCTGCCATATACCAGATGGGTGGAAGATGGCAATAGTTGTTTCCATATATAAAAAAGAGAATAAAAAGTATCCTAGTAATTATAGGCCCATCAGTCTGATTGACATTGTAGCAAAAATATATGCTAGGTTCCTTTTGAATAGAATTGAAATATGGGAAGAGGAAGACCATATCCTCACAGAAGAACAAGCAGATTTTAGACAAAGCCGATCTACAATTGAAAACCTTTGTCTTGAACCATCTAATTGCCAACTATTCCTATAAGAGGAGACCCCTGTTTGCTGTTTTATAGAGCTCACAGCAGCATTTGATATTACGAGAAGTAATATGGAGTAAATGGACATCTCTTAAAATAGAATGTAGAGTGCTGGTTTTGATTAAAGCCCTTTATACAAGTACCTGTTTGAGGGTGTGGTATGGGGTTTAAGGAGCTCTGACTAATAGGATTCACACAAATAAAGGGATAAGGCAAGGGTGTATCCTGGCCTCATTATTATTTACTTTATATATCAATGACTTGCCAGAGTTAATGAAGGATCCCATGCAGGGGTGGGATTCAGTTTTTTTAACAACAAGTTCTGTGTGTGTGGCTTAGTTGGTGGGTGTGGCTTGTTGGTCATGTGACTGGGTGGACGTGGCCAACTCGACATCAGTCATGTCAAGGGGCACTTCTCCTCGCTTGGCCTCTCATGACAGTGGGGATGCTGCAATGGTCATAAGTGTGAAAAATGGTCATAAGTCGCTTTTTTTCAGTGCCATTGTAACTTTGAATGGTCACTAAATGAACTATCGTAAGTCAAGGATTACCTGTACAAAAATACAAAAAACTTCTTTGCTTGCAAAAAGCTAAATACCAATTATTAGATTAAAAATACCTGCAAGCTGGAGTTACAAATCAGGCAGGGTGTCAGAGCACCTTGAGGAATGAAAATAGTTAAAATGCAGTGATAACTATCAAGCAGCCAACTCTTGATCATAAAGTGAAATCCTTTAACAGAGAGGTCATTTAAGCTCTCCAGAAAAAGCACACCCAGGAAAAGCAATCCTTAGATCCATTTGCATCACTTAAAGATACCAGCTGGTCTCACTCACCTCACAAGATATCCTAAGGAAATCATCCAGATTTAAGGAAAGATCACATGCCCCCCAGGAAGGCAGTAAAAAAAAAGTCAGTGCCAAGCTTGCCTCCTGCTTCTTCGAAGTATACCCTAAAAGGACAGTGCCAGATAGTACTAAAATAGTGATGGAAGACCCCCTCCCCAGATAGAAAAAGAAACCCTGAGGCAGGAAAAAATTCAAACACAATACAAATAATTAAATCACAACAGTAGCTGTTGCTTGTTGACGCTCAATAGGAAAAATTATCCCATCACAGGATTAAACGTCTCCAAGCACAGAATTAACCTTCACCAAAAACCAGTTTTAGACTAAAACTCAGAAAAGGTATGTAAATTCATGTTTGAATGTCACTCTTTCTGGTTAGCCATGAAACTTGCTGAATGTCACTCATCTTGGTTCCCTGTCACTAAAAGCTTTGCTTCATTATTCAAGTATTTCTTCAAAGTGCTGATTGTCCAGGGAAGTATTTCCTCCCAACAGCAGTGTAAAAATCTTAAAACAACCCTTCCCCTTTAAGAAAGCCAAGCCTCACAAGTTCCGGAGACAGGAAGTCTAGGCGTACTGGCAAGAATGTAATAAGGGTGGAAAAAAACAAAAGGAGATTCCTTCTAACTACCGATTCTCCAAACTGCTTAGAAAGTTAACAAGGGGTTCTATAGAACCGGACAGAACCGGTAGAATCCCACCCCTGGTTATATTTGTGTGAAACATGATGAACATGCATATAGATCAGGGTTAGGTTATGGGAAGAAGAGATATTTGTAACTTTTTTATGGGTGAAGAGAAATTACATTTATCTTTACGTGTGATGAAGATTGGAAGTTACTTCTTTTTTCCCCTTCACTTACTTTCTTCTTTTTCTTTTCTCCCTTTTCTTTTCTTTGTTTTTGAATTTTTTAATCTATTTCTTTTTCTGAGTATAGTTTACATTTATTTTTACTATTATAATCAAAATCTTTTATAAAATGTATGAAAAAAGAGCAAATAAACAAAGATAAATTGTTTTACTTAGATAAGTCATATCCACCATTAAGAATTTAGGTATGCTCTAATTTTCATTTCTTACACTTCTCATACATTATTTTTTTATCATGATAGAATGTACAGACGTACATCCAATGTGGTTGGACTTAGCTATCCCCCAGCTGTAATCACAGCACTAAAGGTAATATCAATGAATAGTTTTTATTATAAATTATTAAAATATTATAGTATTGATTTTGTTTCTGTAGTATATATTTTGTTTTCTCAAAATTTGGTTTTCATATTAAATGAAATCTGCTTAAAGAAACAAATATGAACAACTCTGATATTGCTTAAAATAAGAAATGTCATTGTTGCTCTCAGTACAAGCTGTCTTATTGTACTTGTTTTGTATATAAGAGGAAGAGTTTACATCAATATGTATGTTTTATCACTTTTCCCCTCCTTCTTGTACACATTTTTGTTAAGTTATCTTAACAAATTATGATGAAGTACTGTTTTATGTAGTGAAGGAACACCATACATCAATTTGCAAACAACCTGATCTCCTGTGTAAGTGGATTTTTTTTCACATGCAATTACATCATTTTAGTACTTCTTTCTTCTCAAAATGAACTAAATTTTCTATGCACATGAGACATTTACATGGAGGTATAAACTATTATTTGAGTTAGCCAAGGGAGTGGATGAATTTCCATTCAACTGCTGTTCCAGAACACAGTTATTGATATTAATAAATGTGGATCAGGCCTAAATCCCTCATTAAGTACATTCTTTCTACTGTACATAAGGACATTAAATTATAATGCATCATTCCTATGGCTGATATCATTGGTCAGCTTTGTTTGTCAGTGAATTAGTACACGAAGGATTTTCATGGAGCAATCCTTTAAATCTTGTGTTGATCCTAACAAATTAAGAAAAACCCTTATTGAAACCTCAGATGTAGACTTCATGTCTATTTGAAGCAGAATAAAATGAAATTTTACATAATGACCTGAATTGTAACTAGTAGGTCTAAAAATCACGTGGCTTTAGGAATAAGAGCTGCGGTGGCACAGTGGTTAGAATGTAGTACTGTAGGTAGGGGTGGGATTCTACCAGTTTACACCTATTTGCTAGAACCGGTTGTTAACATTCTAAGCAGTTCGGAGAACTGGTTGTTAAAAGAAATTACTGGCCTAATCCTGTAAGGCAGGAAGGAAACATTCTGGTGTTCCTTGCAGAAATTGCCTCTCCGTTAACCCTTATTACATTCTTGGCAGGACTAGACTTCCTATCTCAGGAATTTCTGGAGTTTTTTCCCCCTCCTTTGCTGGTACTTTGCTTGTGTGGAATGACCATTCAAAGTTACAATGGCACTGAAAAAAGTGACTCATGACCATTTTTCACACTTACGACTGTTGCAGCATCCCCACAGTCATGAGGCCAAGCAAAGAGATGCATGCCTTGATGTAAGTGATATTGAGTTGGCCACACCCAACCAATAACATGACCACCAAGCCACGCCCATCACCTAAGCCACCCACAGAACCGGTTGTTAAAAAATTTGAATCCCACCCCTGACTGTAGGCTATTTCTGTTGATCACTGGCTGCCAGCAGTTTGGCAGTTCGGGTCTCACTGGTTCAAGGTTGACTCAGCCTTCCATCCTTCCAAGGTTGGTAAAATGAGGACCCAGATTGTTACAGGCAATTGCTGACTCTGTAAAATTTTAAAGTGGGCTGTGAAGCACTGTGAAGTGGTATACAAGTCTAAGTGTTATTGCTAAGTGCTATTGCTATTTGTAACTGATTTTGGTTTAAATCCCATTTAAGTATCCATATGAAGAAATATTAGTGTGACCCATATTAATAGAATTGCACTTATCCAGTTGGATGTAAATTCTCCTTACTATTATAAAATACTACTGCTCCTTAGAGAAAATTTTTCTGTTAGTTAAAAATAACTTTCCTGTGAAATCTTTCATTTTTGTCTATTTGTCTCAGTTAGAAATGAACTAATTTCATGGTAAATAAATTAAACTCCACTGTAGTGGAATTGTTTTATCAGTGAAAAGCAGACTAGAAAATATAAACATAAATAAATGAATTTGGTTTCCAGACAGTAAACTCATTGTTCTTATCATTTCAAATATTAATGTGGTAAATTAGAAGATCACAGATTTTGAGTCTTCATATTGCCTCCTTATTGCTCTGGAAGCTGAATTGCCAACATTCTTCTGAAATTGAATACAAATATTTTTGTGATCATTAAATAACATCCTTGTACCAGACTTGAAATTCTTGCTTTATCTTTTGAGTCTGGTTGATCTCATAAAGCGGTGTATATATGTGCATACATGCCCTTACCCAAAACACATTATTTCTTTGCAAATATTGGTCAGAAATTAAGTGCCTATCAAAATATCCTTCTTAGGCTGATACAACTTTACAGTTTACAAACATCCTAGGAAGAATTGCCCTTTTGTCTTCTTTTACAGCTGGAGCCAAATCATACATATGTATGTATGAAATTTAGTCATCTTGTTTTCTACAATTAGAATACTTTGGGGAAATAGGAAGTAATTTGCAGTAGTGCCTGAAGATAGCATCAGAAGATTCCAGTGTGAAATTTTAAATATTTTGAGCATTATTATGGACATGTAGGTTCATTATCTATGGCTAGGTGCAAAATAAAATGACAAAGGTCAAAATGAAATAAATTTTCAGATATTTCCATTAGAGTTCTTCTAATGGAAGTCTAGCTACTTCAAGGGTTCCAATGTTTAAATTGATTGATTTGTGCTCTCATTAAAAAGAAAAGAAAAAATGGTAAGTTGTAGAGGATAAGCCAGCAGTGTTTTGCTGCTTTTTCTTGTACTTTAACCCCACAGAGGTGTTTTAAAGTAAAGAAAATGGCTTCTTGGAGAAAAGGCAAGAAAATAATATAATTAATGGATCATATTTTAAAAATTCTATCTAGATTTTGGAGAGAAATAGATGTGCATGTGACCTTTTTTCTGACTTGAGTCTTTTCCACTAGGCCCAGGTTTATCTCTGTATAAAAATCTTGGAACCTTTGAAATAAGGACTGTGATTACAGCAGTACATTTATTTTTATGTCTGTTTTAAATGAGATCAATCAAATCTGAACACAGCAATATTAAATGTTGTACACCCTTATTCCATAACTAACAATCATGACATCTGTTCAAAAATAATTTCCCAAGAATACTTTACAAATAGATGCCTCAAACTGTTTAAACTTTAAAGAGACTCAGCATGAGCTCAGCTAATCTGAATTTGAATTTGAATTCAGAAATATCGTATCATTTCCCAATAATAATACGAGAATAATCATTTAATCATTCTAAACATTTTTCATTTACCACTATTCTTCTGTTTATGCATTGGTAACTTAAATCATTTTAAGTACAGTGACTTCTATTTTCAAAGCATTATTTGAAAATACTATAACAACATGGATTTCACTCACTGTGTGCTTTGCTAATTGCTTGCAGTAGTTTTATTCAGGGGTAGGATTCAATTTTTTTAACAACCAGTTCTGTGGGGCATGGCTTAGTTGGTGGGCATGGCTTGTTGGTCATGTGACTGGGTGGACATGGCTTGTTGGTCATGTTATTGGCTGGGTGTGGCAAACTCAATATCACTCACATCGAGGCATGCATCTCCTCGCCTGGCCTTTAATGACTGTGGGGATGCTGCAACAGTCGTAAGTGTGAAAAATGGTCATGAGTCACTTTTTTCAGTGCCATTGTAACTTTGAATGGTCATTCCACACAAGCAAAGTACCAGCAAAGGAGGGGAAAATAACTCCAGAGACGTTCCTGAGACAGGAAGTCTAGTCCTGCCAAGAAATGTAATAAGTGTTAACAGAGAGGCAGTTTCTGTAAGCAACACCAGAATGTTTCCTTCCTGCCTTCCTTACAGGATTAGACCAGTAATTTCTTCTAACAACTGGTTCTCCAAACTGCTTAGAATGTTTAAAAAACAGTTCTAGCGAATAGGTGAGAACTGGTAGAATCCCACCCCTGGTTTTATTTAGTCTGAAAACACAACAGAAATTTTTACAGCCAAATTTCATTTGGCAAATTCATTTCTAATATAATTAAATATATCTTATCAATATTTGTTCTAACTTGTAACACAATAGAGTATCTCCTTTCTTGTCAATACTGGTATATACTTTTCTTCATATTAATTAAAACATGGAAAATGATTTAAACCACTCTTTCATATTAACATAGTAATAAAATGGAATCAGTAATTTGTGTAACAATTAAAAAGTAAAGAAATTTGTATTTATTTCTTCTGTGTTGTACTGCTATATAACCATCAAGGCAACAGGCAAGAAATGAAAGAAAATAAGCACAAAAATGAACTCTCCAAAACATTATAATCAAAATGCAACACTGGCAGAAAAATCCTTTTATTAGTTGGACCACTTTTTTTTGAGGACCATGTTAAGAACTAGGTGTGTGTTCTTTGTGTGCAGATGATGAAGAGAATATACTAATGCCCCCCTTTTCCCCTTTGCACAGAATGTTGACAAGTGGTCGTTTGATGTATTTACATTAAATGATGCTAGTGGGGATCATGCACTAAAATTTATTTTCTATGAACTGCTCACACGCTATGATTTGATCAGCCGTTTCAAGGTTAGTAGTTTAGTACCTACTCCTTTCTCCTATTCCATAGATCAGTAATTTATATTTATTTTGTGATTGTTTTGTATTTTGGCTACTGATTACAATATACTGTCCTTTGATTTATTTTGAATGTTCTTGTTATTGTAATAAACAAAATTGGGCAATTTCAGAAATCTATGACTCTGTTATATATGGAATAAATTAGTAGTATTAAAAGGCTTCGCCAAAGGAAGACATCTTGTAAAATTATGGCTCATCTGCCTCATACTTTCTGACTTTATTATTTTCAATACTTTTTGCTTCCTATTCCTATCCAGGTTATTTGTGGCTTATTTCTCCCTGATTCTAAGTTTTGAATTCTCTGTGTGGATAAGACATGAATAAGTATTCTGGGGAGTACTTGCAAGGAATTTTACTTTGCAAGGATTTAATAAATATAGGCAGGACATATGTGAAAACATATACATACAGAAAAAAAATCAGAATCCCCTTGTTTTCATAGCTTGTTTCCAAAGAGGTACAAATGGCCAAAGCCCAAAATTGGGATACACTGATGTCCAGAAGGCTGAGAGTCCAAACATGGATTGTTGGTCCAAGTTCCGAGTAGTAGAGTTTCCACAGGCAGCAAGCACCTGCTCTGTACTTAGCCATTTGGGCTCTAGGACTGTCAAGAGATCATGATTTGTAAGGAACAGAGAGTACAGTTTTTCACCAATCATTATATTGATCAATACAATAGAATTATAGTGTGTTCTCTAATGGGGAAATGCAAAAGCTATAATAATGTAAATATGATTAATTAACATTAGTGCTTATTCTATAAAACTATCTGCATTTGGGGGGACAAAAGTGTTATTTGGCATTACAGGAAGTAAAGGAAAAGAACATAATTCTTCACACATCTCAGACAAGTGGTAATTCAGCATTTATTGATTGATTGATTGATTGATAACAGTTACATACAATAAACCTCCAAAGAATCTGAAGCTTAAATAATAAAGCAAACATTTGTCTGTATAATGTCTGTATTACAACATAAAGCCAAAAAATATAATACTTTCTTATCTGTAATAGGAATTGGACAGAATTTGTGATTACTGTCATTGATTTAACAACTACAATAAATCAATTACAATTTCTAGAGCGGTGCAAAACTGATTTAACAACTACAGTGTGAAGACTTACCCACAATACCGAAGAGATTGTTTATCCTTTATCCTTCTTTATTTTTATTGGCAGTAGAATCATTATCAGCAAAAATAAATCTTGAAGTTAGAAAGATTGGAGTTAAATTAGCAACTCAAGTACATGTATTGAAATTATATGCTAATGATGCTGTACTTTCAATTCCCCAACTGAAAGGTTACTTACTACTGTTAATGGAGGTATAAAGCAATATTGTCTTATATGGATTAATGAAGGAAAAACTCCCATTAACTTTAGAAGAGATTGATCAATAACTGCATTCTCTTCAATGTAATTATGAAACTCCATGGGAACAATACAATGAAGTATATGTGTGGTTCTCAAGAGCATTCTCTATTTTTTTTTCTTATCTTTTTGAGAAGGAGTAAAGCATGGCTATATTTTGGTAATCATTCTTAATTTTTACATAAATTTTCTTATGCAAGCCCAATATTAGAGTTTCACTTTCCTATATTCGTTAGAAAATACCTTCGGCTCTAGTTGATCAAGGTGGCATGGCCATCATCTTAGGTGATGCCTTGGAGAATTTGCTTTATGGCAGAGAGAATGTCCCAATGTCAACTACAGTAAAACCAAGGTATTATCCATTGTACGTTGCCATTCTTGGAAAAATTGATGTAATTTATGTTGCTCAAACTAACTCATTCAAATATCTTGAAGCATTTTTTAATATCTTAGCACCACTGTATGAGAAAATAAGGAAAATCTCTTTGCTGGACCAGAGTCTTCCAAAAAACAAAACATGTATTAAAAGTGAATATGTAATTTTTAAATTTAAAGATTTATGTGAAAGCACAATGGATCTTCCTAATAATGGAATATATTATTCCAAAATAACCCCCAAACAAATTTATTTCTGTATTAATATATTTGTTTTCATAGAGTAGAAATTCCAAAATTAGCTGTGGTAAAATATAAATTGGCCATAACTTTCATATTATTAAAAAAAGTGCATTTCTAACTTATAAATAAGTTAAGCCATGATCTAGAACAGGGGTGTCAAACTCATGATGACACATTTTCATCATGTGACGTATCTCAACTTATTTTCCCTTCACTAAATCAAGGGTGGGAGTGGCCAGTGCATGACGCATCTGGCCCGTGGGCTGCAAGTGTGATACCCCTGATCTAGAACTATTCAATCATGATTATATAATTATATATCTCCATACCCAAAATAGTGGTTAATAATTATATATTACTGTAATGTAAATCAGAGGTGGTATTCAGCAGGTTCTGACCAGTTCTGGAGGACCGGTAGCGGAAATATTGAATAGTTTGGAGAACTGGCAAATACCACCTCTGACTGGAGATTTTACAATATCCTTCCCCTGCCATACCCACCAAGCCACGTCCATAGAACCAGTAGTAAAAAAAAATTGAATCCCACCACTGATGTAAATAATATAAAATTAGTTTGATAATGTTACAATGAAGGTACTTATTTTTTAATTAATTTTTATGCTGACCATCTTTCCTATAAGGTAGCTCTGAGCAGATTACAGGATATAAAACAAATAGAAAAATAATTAAAACATTAAAACTACACAGATTAAGATTTTAAAAACTATACCTAAACCAGAAGAGATGGATATGACAAGGATGATTTTTTTTACTCCGTCAACCACCTATTATCTATAGATTAAACATCTTAATTCTGAAAGAAAGTGCTGATATGTTGCTTATATTTTGTATTTATTAATGATATAATTTATTAGGGATATCTAGAACACATTATGTAACTCTAAGAAGATAAGATTGAGTGCTGGCATTTGCTTAAAGAATATCAGATTTTTCAAACACAATGAAACACTGTTGATGAAAAGTTTGGTAAGATTAAATCAATCTATTATTGTGCTAAATGTGTTCACAATCTACCCTCCTTTTTATGTATATATATATAGATTCCAATTTCTGCTCTTGTCTCCTTTGTGGAAGCTCTGGAAGTTGGCTATAGCAAGTATAAAAATCCATACCACAATCTAATGCATGCAGCAGATGTCACACAGACTGTTCATTACCTTCTTTTTAAGACAGGTGTAGCAGTAAGTAGACAAAATACTAATTAATTAAGAGACCAATATGAAAATAGTTATGCAATTGATCATGGCAATAAAATAGGTTTGAAGGTATTTATGGCACAATTAAAATTTTGGGTTTGCTAAAGTAGGTCTTTTTCCAATTTTTTTAATTGATTGAATGTATGGCATTAAGTTGTTGACTTAGTGAGGGCAAGGTTTTATTAATTAAGGCTTTTTGGATTATAATTTGATGTTTTGACATATGCTATGAGTAAGATGTCTGTAGACCTTTTCTAACAATATTGTTAAACTTAGGATTTTTGAGTTATAGACTTATTAAATGTTCAGATAAATGAAGATAACTTTATTAATTAAACTCTTTTATTGTTAGGATAGATGGTCAAGTCCAATATATTAATGTCACTCCAGTGTTTCTTACAGAATATATACTGTAATGTACAGTAATTGTATCACAAATCTGTTAAAACTACAGTCACTAATACAACAAAGATTTAAGTATATAAGTCTGAACCTGTATTGCAACTCAGACCATAAAGAGTCCTACTGTCTAAGAGTTTGCAATTTATACCTCTTTCTATGTTAATAATTATCAATGCGACTTTCCCATAAACTAATGCTGATAATACTTATGAAGATAATGTCTCATTTTTGCAACAGTTTGATGTAGAATACATTACGAATATAGTAGAAGATATGTTTGGGATAAAACAATTTATGTTTCAGTGAACAAAATTTAAAATGCTTTGACTTTAGGAAACAATGGCATCTCAGAACAAAGCACATGCTACTTGTTACTATTCAACCAACAGGAACTTTGGCCAAAGGGCTGATTATTTTAAAATAATAAAGGAAATTCCTATAACAAACTATGGGAGAGGCAGCTTTAACTTTTATATCCTATGCATGTATTAATATAAAAAGATATAAAAATTTAGGATATGTCAGGGTAATGATGATTTAATAGCTGACCAGCTACTGTAATACTGCAATGATGCTACAATGATGTTGGATGCTGGAATGAGATTTTTGAAACTGTTACCACTTTAAGAGGCTGTACCGTAAGAGAGGTCCTGTTGGGGCATATCTCTCTCTCCATGTGCGCTTCCATGATGTAAATTACTGATTGCTGTTAGTTCAAGACTTGTCTCAAACTACTTGTATGCAGGGGTGGACTGCTGGGGGTTCGCAGAGGTTTGGGAGAGCCCCGAACTAAGATTCTGTGCAGTTTGGAGGACTCCCAAATGCCACTCCTGGCTGCCCTGTACTGCCCATGCCACCTCTCCCAGCAATCTGCATGTGGCCCATTTTGGATGAAGGTAAGTGCAGGGCACATGCGGAGGCTCAGGGAGGGCAAAAAACAGGCCTCCCAGAAGTTCGGGAAGGCTGGAAATGGGCCATTTCTGGCTTCCAGAGAGCCTCTAGAGCCATTTTTGCTCTCCCAGAGGCTCAAGGAAAGCCTCTAGAGCCTGGGGAGGGCAACCCCCCCATCCTGGCACAGGAGGCTGACTATGCCACACCCACCATGGTCATGCCCACCTAGCATCTGGGCAGTGAGCCCTTTGCTAAATTTTTTGAAGCCCACCCCTGCTTGTATGTCTCAAACTGGGGTTTGCCACTGGGGTGGCTTTTGTAGGGATAAAACCACTATATTTAAATACAAACCTCTGTTTGCTGTATTTGCTCCTGGGTTGTCTCACATAGTCACACTGTGTACACTCTGACAGGATAACAGCAATTAAAAAGAAAGAATCAGAGTTACAATAAACCAACAAGCTAGTAGTTACTTTCTGAAAACTCAGTATAAATAGATCCATTTGTGTACACAAAATGTACACAATGATTCAACTATACCAAGCAAGGTAGGTATTTCCCACTGAATATTTATGTTTAGTGGGATTGGATTTTTTTGGGGGGTGGGGTGTAACATTGCTCAGTGCTTAAGGGGCTAGACTTGTTGGCTGGAAAGCCAGAGCCCAGTTTCGAGACCTAAGCTCCACACGACAGGGTAAATTCCCATCCTCATCCCAGTTCCTGTTGCCCTAGTATCTCAAAAGCATACTGATGCAAGTAGATCAGGGTGTCAAACTCAAGACCTGTGGGCTGGATCCAGCCTGTGGGCTGCTTAGATTCCCATGGGGCCAACCTGGAAATATTAAAGGACCAGCCTGTGATACCTCTGCCAGTGAAAATGGACCATGGAGGTGCATAGGTGCAATTTCAGTTTCCACAGCCCCTTGCAGCACTTTGCTCACTGAAAATGGCTCATGAGGGGCCTTGTGAGGCCCATTTTCGGCCTCCAAGGCCCTCTGTGCCCATTTTCAGCTGGCAGAGTACTTCAGGAGGCTGTGGAGGCTAAAAACAGGCCTGCAGGGGCCCTGCGAGGCCCCCACATGGCCTGTTTTTACTGGCAGAGGTATTGTCTGCTTGTCATTTGATATTTTCTGGCCAGCCCCATGGGCCAGATCTACAAAGCCTGTGGGCCAGATCCGGACCCATTTTCAGCTGGCAGAGTGCTGCAGGAGGTAGTACCTTCTTCCCCTTTTCTATCCAGAACTAGGTACTCTCTAAGATTGGGTTATCCCTGCCCCCCCAATATTTCCACCCCAATATTAACCAGGCTTAACTCTGCATAGCTTCTAAATCCAGAGGAGAACCATATGCTAAGCTTTGAACTAATAAGTATTGTATTTAAACCTTGAGACTTTGCCTCCTGAAGCTGATCTAATTTTTCCCATTTGATTCATTTAACATTTGTTGTTTTTTCTCCTCCAAGATGGTGTCTAAATCAGGGATTGCCAACCTTTTCGACCTCAGGGACCACCAAACTCGTAATTTTAAATCCCGCAGACCCTGGGAAAATCCCCAAAAAAGTCTGCAGGAAAATTCCCCATCCCATTTTCCTACCAATTGATCATTCTTTATTTGGAATCGCAGGACACCGTCTCAAGCTCCATTCTCAGGGGAAGAAATTGAGAGAGAGAGATACACACACACACTTTTGGCTTCATGCAAGGAAAGCAGTAGAAGCAGCAGAAGTCTTTCTTTCTCTCCCCCAAACTCCTCCAGAAGTGAGTCTTTGTGAGACTTGTCATGCTGGTGCAGCTTCTTGGAGCAGGATACCTTGCAGGGTCCCAAAGACTCATTTCTGGTAGAGTTTGGGGGAGAGAAAGAAAGACTTTTGCTGCTTTCCTTGTGTGCAGCCAAAAACAGAAGAAGAAAGAAGTGGAAAGAAGCAGCCCGGTCGCCAGGCAAGGCACATGGGGCGCATGGAGCAAGTTCCCCCTCTCTGCCCTTTCCCTCCTCCCCTCACTACCTCATGTTGTTTGCAATGTAAGTGATGCAAGCCATGTGTTTCCACGGGCCATGTGGGCGGTGCAGCCTTGTGTTCTCATGCAGTATGGATTAATTGCTTTGGGGGGGTGCCAATTTCTCTGTGGACCACCAAAATTTTCTCGCAGACCACCAGTGGTCCACAGCCTACTGGTTGGTGACCACTGGTCTAAATCATTTGGCAGCAGCATAATGACATAAATATAGTTGTGTCAAAACTGACTAGGCCTCAATACAGCAAGGTGTCTATATCATTTTAAAAATCATTTTCTAAATAGAAGTTCATTAGAAGATACATCAATTTCCATGCCCTGTTTGGGTTGGCAGCACCTTCTGCAACTTCTCTTTAGCAGCTAGAACTAGGTACCCTCCAAGATCTGGATGGCTGTTGTTCAGAAGAGCCAAAAAATCTGATCCCCCTCGTACCACAGAGTTTGTCATCTTTTATCTTAATCTTTTACCTGTGGTTATTTAATTGTAATTTTTTTATTGTTGTAAGCCACCCTGGGTCATTGGGAATTGTGTGGTATATCAATTTTATAATTATCGCTAATATTAATTCCTCCTGTAAGGTTGTGTCGGAGGTAATAACAAAGATTGACAGACAGACAGTTTTTAGAGACATCTGTAGAAAGTGTCAGTTCTTTTATGCTCTGCTCCTATACAAAACAGTCAAGACCCATAGCAGCTGGGGACTCCACATGTCTTTAATCTCTACATTATGGAATTGAGACTATTTGTGCCAGAAAATAAATCTCCCTTTGTCTGGAATAGCTATTTTGAATGCAGAGGGGAAAAATGCATCTTGAGCCTATGTCAAATGCACACCATGGCCATGCCCACCCCCAGAGAGGCCCCACCCCCACCCCCGGCCCTCCAAGGTCACATGATCCTGATGTGGCCCTCAATGAAATTGAGTTTTACCTAAAATTGAAGTAACCTTAAATAGTTACCAATTTGGTGGGAAAGTAACATCTCTCTTTGACATCATGCTGACCACCTGACCATAGAAATGTCTTCAGACAGCATTGGCTCAAAAGTCTTGAAACAGAGATGAGCACTGCTCCTATAGTTGGTAACAACCAGAAGAATAAAATCTATAGGGACTCATTTACTTTCTTTTATTAGGGTTTCTATGCTTCTTTAATCTAGCAAGGCTCTAGATCAGGGGTATCAAATTCAATTTCATTGAGGGCCGCATCAGGGTTGTGGTGGACCTTGGGGGACCGGTGGGGCAGGGCCAGTTCAATGTCACTCATGTCAGAGATGCCTGTGGTGGGCTGGGCGGGGCTGGGGAGAACTCATCCTTCCTTCCTTCCTTTTCCCTTTTCTTCTTTCTCCTTCCCTCTTCCCTCCCCTTTCTTTCTTCTTCCTTCCGCTCTTTCCTTTTTTCTTTCCTTGTTCTCTTCCACTCTTTCCTTCTTTTTCTTTTTCTTTCCTCTTTCCCTTTCTCCTTTCCTGTTCCTTCTTGGATGCTCAAATGCAAAAGGGGAAACATGTCTTGATGCCTTCTTGCCTTAAGATCAAATGCCACTTTTGCTAGTAGTTTGTGGCCACTTAAAGGACTGAAAACAAACCAGGCACAGTTTATCTCATGCTTGTATTTAATGGGGACATCCACAGATAACACTACAGCAAAACTGTCAAAATGATGACTATGTCTATAGTTGATC